ATTCCTGATATGTGTAATCCAAATATAGCTAAATCTACACTTGGACCACTATGACTTTGTATACCTGATAATGGAGGATAACAATTATGTTGGTAATCTCATTTTATAAAACTATCATTACACTCAATAAATTTCTTTATTGTTCGGACTATACCATTATCTTTTGTTTTATTACTTATATTTTTTTTTGTTAGCGTACGACGACTAGTCAGACCTTAAAATATTTATTAACTTTTTATAAAGAGTTTATTGTAAAATCTCGCAAAAAAGATAAGAATAAATCATTATAAGAATGATAAAAAATTTGAATTTAAAAACATATGATCAGGGAAAAGATATAACTAAAAGAATACTAAATTATATAAATAAATAAAAAAAAAAATGAATACCTAAATAATATTTAAACTTACAAAATATTAAACAATAGACTAAGTATTCTATACTAACCAATAATTACCCTACCTGCCTCTGCCCCTGCTGATGTCGCAGGGTATCAGGTCAAGGGAGGGGTAAATGAAATAAGTCAGTAGGTAAACAAAAGCCAATATAATATATACTTCTCTAATAAAAAAAAATCCCTGTGTACGCAGGAAAAAGGGATACCGAACATCTTATGAAAACGGGTCAGAGGGACAATTATTTTCTAGTTATAGAATATATTCCTTTAAAGGGCTTTTTACTTTTAATGTAATTTCCTACCTGAGTTGTATATGTCTCAAGGAATTCGGCGGCCTTTGTCATAGTAGGAAACTCTGTATTAACTCCTGTTTGAATATTTGTAACTATCACAGGTTGCAATCTAAAGCTACCTGCACCAATTCTTGCTTTAACTTCGTCAGAATGTTTACGACCTTTCATCTTTAATTTAGTTTCATCTGAGTGAGTTCTACCTAAAAGTGCTGATCTTATTTTAGATCTTGTTTCCTCAGAAATACGGCGAGATTTACGTTTTAAAGATGACGCACGAATAAGTTCAATAGCAGCTTCAGTATGGTTATAACCAGCAGAGGAACCTGCAGTTCTTAAAATATTATATTCAGGTTTTAATAAATCAAGATAATATTGTTCTCTTTGTATTAATA